GGTTTTCGCTATAGGGCGCGTGCGCTCGCCAGACAGACAGAGAGAGACATAGAGACAGAAAGCGAGAAATCACCCCCCAGGGGGGATGGTCACGCCGCAATCCCTTCTCCTCCATTCTCCTCTCGGGATCTTGGGCACGCACGCACACGCGCCCGGCGTGAGATTTAAGCCACCGGGTCCGAGACGCGAACCGCGGTCGACTACGTGGGAGTCCAGCGACATAGCCATTACGCTAACTGCTGGTTCCCAGAGTCATGAATTTTTAATGAATCAGGCATTATAATGTGTTTAGTTACTAATATGCAGGTGTAAAGTAGGTATTGGTAGATAACTCTATTAAATAGAGATACATCTGGCAAAGAGGGAAAGGAGTCAGGGAGCTGATGATGTGTTGAAGTTAGTGATTATAATGACATGAAGGGAATAAGAGACAGTGAAGAGACAAAGGGGTTAGATGTTCTGGTGGTCCACAGACTATTGGAATGAGAAGATTTAGAGTGATTGAACTAGGATGTTACAAGGCAGTGCTTGAAACTGAGATTATGGTGAAATTGCAGTAATTAATAATGGCAAGGCCTGGACTTATGTATCATGATAGTGGTGTCTTAGTATGCTTTTGTGTATGCTGACAAATACTTGAGACTGGATGATTTATAGAGGTTTATTTGACTAATGATTATGGTAGCTGGTGTGGAGGCTGGCTTTAGGCTAGTCCACATGATAACAGGGAAGACAGTAATACAGAGGATGACAAGCATATGCAGAACAGAAGCCTGGGGACAGCCATCTTCCTTTTGGGAACTAACCCCTTCTGAAAAGTCAGTGCCCCTTTCTTACTTTTGCAACTTCTGTTATGGCTGTGACCACAGGTAGAACTCACTCATGTGCTCAGACAGCATTAGTTTGTGAGAGTGTTGCCTCTGATCACTGCCTACTAAGCTTCGCCTATTAAAGATCTCTTCACCTTCCAACACCATTACACTGGGAATCAAATTTCAAAAACATGTACCTTTTGTGAACTCCCATGATCCAAATCATAGAAAGTGGATAGCTGAGATAGAATGGTAGAAAAGGGTATTGGAGAGGAAATCAAGAAAATGAGGCCAAGGTATTGGAAAGGTCATGTGCATGGGTACTGAACTCACCAAAAGATACTCCTAGGAGCAATATCGGAGAAACAGGACATTAAGTGCCAAATCTCAGAATGAAGTCTAGCAACCCAGAGACCTTATATGTGAAAGGAAAAGTTATGGGGCACAGCATAAAGTTCAAAGGGGCTAGTGGTTTTATCGAGGTAGTAGCTGCTCGAGGTGTCAATGAGAAAGGAGCAGTACACTCATCCCACTTCCAGATCCTGGGGCATATGGGGTGTGCTACAAAAAAAACAGCCATGGATTCAGGTTACTGGGGGAAGCTGTATGCTGAGTGGGATTCCAGTGGCAGAAAGGGGCATCTAGCATTTGAGAGCACAAACGATTTTGTTCAAGATAGACCTGACGTGGGAACTAGCAGTTAGCATAATGGCTATGTCGCTGGACTCCCACGTAGTCGACCGCGGTTCGTGTCCCCGACCCGGTGGCTTAAAACTCACGCCGGGCTCGTGTGCATGCGTGCCCAAGATCCCGAGAGGAGAATGGAGGAGAAGGGATTGTGGCGTGACCATCCCCCCTGGGGGGTGATTTCTCGCTTTCTGTCTCTAATGTCTCTCTCTGTCTGTCTGGCGAGCACACGCGCCCTATAGTGAAAATCTCTCAAAAAAAAAAAAAAAAAAAAAAAGATAGACCTGACGCTTGGAGGCTAGGTGACTTGTTCAGGGTCACACAGCTAGTGAGACTAGTTGACTCCAGTATTTTTCCACTACCTAGAGCCATAACACTCCATCTACGGTTTTTAAGCTTATTTAACGACAAGTACGTGAGAGCAAAACGAATGCAAACACTAAGAACGTAAACCATAAGCCCAGAAGACCTCCAAAAGCAGCGCTGCTATCCAGCGCAGAAGAACCCGCCGGCCTCGCAAAGCACTATGGGTCTAGTAGTTTCCCGGCGAGCGCGGCGGGAAGGGACGCAGAGCGGGCGCATTGCATGGCGGGAGAACAAACCTCTGGGGAAGTCCCTCCTCCCCGGAAGCCGGGCTGCGCCGGCGCGCTCTGCTCTCTCTAAGCGCGGGAGTCTCGGTTTGTGGTGGCTTCGTTTAGGCGGCGGTGACTCGGCCGCCGTCTTGGGCTCCATTTCACGGAGACTTTACGGCCTGGCCAGTTGAGGCGAAATGGCTCCGGGCGAGGGAGGTGCGGGCGGTGGCCCTGGAGGGGCCGTCGCGACCTCAGTCTGCCGGTAGGGATCCCGAGGGCCCTCGGAGTCTCTTGGATCTGCACGTTCTTCCTTTGCTGTCCCTGTGCCCACAGCGAGGATGAGTTCGGCCTGGGTCACCTCCTTTGAGAAAGAGCATCTCTGGATGTATCTGCAGGCTCTCGGCTTCGAGCCAGACTCAGCGACCGTCGCCTGTGGAAAGATCGTGTCGCACACGCACCTTGGAGTGTAAGCAGACCGTGGCCGGCGGGGCGAGGAGTCGCAGCCGGGAGACGAGCGCGATCTCCCTCCCGGGCTGTAAATCAGAAATGGGTGAGCGGCTGCTGTGTGCCAGGTCCCGGCTGCGCAGCCGCTGCTCCTCGTTCTGGTGGAGGAGGCCGACTCTGTATTACAGAACAGTGCCCGTAGCGGTTTGTGGATGGGGCGGAGTTGGAGGGCCAGCTTAACCCTGCCTTGATGCGGTAGGAGAAGCAGCGAGTTGGTAGTCGAAAGGCTGGGGGACGATATGTGCCAACGCCTTCAGGATTTAAGGGAGCCGGCCTTTGCAGGTGGCTATTCCATGGTTTATAGTTATTCGTTTCTTGACATAGAAAACTAAAGCACGCCACATTTAGCAAAACACAGAAGAGTATTGAATGGAAAGCCAGTGCCCCTTTCCTACTTTTGCCACTTCTGTTATGGCTGTGACCATAAATCTGAATAGTTGGCTCATACTTCTGAGGTTTTTCAACTTTAGATAATTCTTATCCTCTCCATTGTGGACCAAGAGGAATTTGGGGTACAGAGACCATCTCCTGTTCTCCTCAATCTTAATTTTTTATAAATTATTTTCTTTCCAGTTCTTCTAGTGACTGTTTTAGTGTGTTTAGACTGTCTTAATTCATCTGTTTCAAATGTTATATTTTGATTCCCCATTATGTAATTTTACAGTGAACAGTACTATTATTTATAAGATAAGTAGCTACCCTATACTTTCTTGCCCCTCGTCTAGCTTCCTCTTTTGACATTTTTCAGATATTATAATTTCTACTCTTAGGGTTTAGGCCATAATTAAGTTTTGTTTGCTCTTTGTTTAGAAGTTATTACTGTTGGGGTCAGCAGGTGGCATGGTGGTTAAGAGCGCTGGACTTCCACAAGATTTGGCAGTTCTAGTTCTAGTTCCAGTTCTAGTTCCCGAAGGGATTGCGGTGTGACCACCCCTGATTGCTTGCTTTCTGTCTTTCTCTCTCTGTCTCTGGTGAGCGTATGTGCCATATAACAAAAAATCTCTCAAAAAAAAAAAAAAGAAAAAAAAGGGACCAGCAGTTAGCGTAATGGCTATGTCGCTGGACTCCCACATAGTCGACCGCGGTTCAAGTCCTGGACCTGGTGGCTTAAACTCATGCCGGGCGCGTGTGCGTGCATGCGTGCGTGCGTGCCCAAGATCCTGTGAGGAGAAGGGATTGCAGCGTGGCCATCCCCCCTGGGGGGTGATTTCTCGCTTTCTCTCTGTCTCTCTCTGTCTTTCTGGCTAGCGCACTCGCCCTATAGCAAACCCCCCCCCAAAAAAAAACCCCAAAACTTCCATCACTCTGTCATTCCACAATTTTTTTCTCCATTTCTTCCTCCTCTGTAGAATTTGGGCACATACACAGGCCAAGGGTGTTTTTCAAGCTGTTGAGTCTAGGAGTTGAACCATGCAGTTGGCCATATGTGTTCCAGTTATGTTAACCACCATACCACTGCTCGCCCACAAATATGAGAAAATATAGTAAGTGTCAAAGAGAAGAGAACAGAGTACAATGTAAAAAAAAAATAATAGCAGGTTTGAAAGTAATGACAGGTTTAAGAGGATAAATAGGTAAAATGGGTGGAACTTCATTTGTTTGCTAAAGAATAGAAATATTTAGAGGACAAGAGTTTTTTTTTGCAGATGTGAACTGTGGGAATTTAAGAGAATAATGCTAAGGCAAAATTTCACTTGATTTGATTCCTTGGAAGTAAATTGGATATTTTGCCTTTCATGTTAGTTGATAGTTGTGTGACATTTCTTATGGGATTTAGCATTTGTTTTCCATATTATATTTCTTTAAGGCTTTGTCTTGATTAGGGAAATTGGCACAATAACTTTTTTTTTTTGCTATAGGGCACATGCGCTCACCAGAAAAACGGAGAGACAGAGAGACAGAAAGAGAGAAATCACCCCTCGGGAATGGCCATGCCGCAATCTCTTCTCCTCCATTCTCCTCTTGGGATCTTGGGCATGTACGCATCCACATCTGGTGTGAGTTTAAGCCACCGGGTCTGGGATGAAAACTGCGGTGGACTGGATGGGAGTCCAGCGACAGCCAGTATGCCAACTGCTGGTCCTGGAACAGTAACATTTTTAATGGGCTTACTGGAATTACATTATAAGGATAGTTTAGGAAATAAAATCTAGCAGTTAAGACTGTGGGTTTTGGGGTTAGGTGAGGTGACATATTTCAAATTAATGCTTTTCCATTTCCTGATTATGTGATTTGGGGAAAATTATCCAAACACTCTAAACTTACAGTGTCTCATCTGTATAATGAGCATAGTCAAACTACTTTCTGGTAAAGATGATGAAATAAAATAACTGATATTAAAGCTGATAGTATAATACTTAACCTCATATGATTGTAGTAAGAATTATGTGTTAACTGCTTGGAAAAGGCATAAAATAATGACTTTAAATAAGACATATAGAATTTTCAATGAAGGATAAGTTTTGCTTTGTGTTTAATAGGGTTTTTTTTTTTTTTTCAAAATTATTCACTTATTTATTTACTACAATCATAT